AAGAAAGAAAGAAAGAAAGAAAGAAAGAAAGAAAGAAAGAAAGAAAGAAAGAAAGAAAGACAGACGGTAGGGAACATATGGAGAGCATTCCTTCGGAGAGACCCCAAGCCCTTTCCTGGCAGCCACCGTGGGCTTGTGTGTGTCTGTGAGCCAGAAAGTTCCAGGCAAGCTGCATCCGCTCCACTCGGAATGGCATGGACGGGGAGGGGGGGCTTAGAAGACAACACGGAGCTGCTGCCCAACTGGCCTTCCCGTGTGCCTGGGCGATGCCCAGGAGCATTCTTTATCTTGGTGGCCCCCAGCCCGGTTCAGCCCAGTTTCAAACTTGGTCTTTTCCTGCCCCACAAAATTTGGTCCTGTTCTGCTCAGGTTTTGGGGAGTTATCCTAATGGAGAGATGGAAAGATGGATGGGGTCTTGAGCCTCTTGATGTCATTTATTTCCAGATATTCAAAAATGGGAACTGGAAAGAAGAAAAGCACCCTCTGAACTCGTCTCCCTGGTTAAGGATGGAATTTGAATGTATGGAGACCAGCCCCCAAAGCAGGTGACATGACACCACCCCAGGCACCCCGGTTGTGGAAGGCTGGAAGGGCGGGGTTGGGGGCATGAGGGCGTTCTTCCTGGGAGCTGCGAGGTCCCTCAGCCATTCGCTGTGCTCGACAGGAGAGATCCACTTCTAAATCTATGGGTGGGACTCAACTGCAGGAAAGCACAGCTGGACAGATGCAAGCTGCAAGGAGCAACCTTATGCACAGGTGAGCTTAAAACGTTTCTGTGCAGCCTTTATTTTGTTAAAAGTCACCACAAAGAGAGCCCTCAAATATGGAAGTTCTGGAATTAAGTTCTGGAATTCTTGCAGCTTTCAAGATATTATTCGGTCTAGGAGGAAACGGTCTTTAAAAAAGTGGCAAAGGGCCACTCTTCCAAGCTGCTCCCTGCCAGCTTCCCATGGAGGACCCTCTTCTACCCCCATCTTTCCTGGAGGAGCATTTCTCAAACCTTCCAGCTCTGTTACCCACAGACGGTCAAGCAAGAGAGAGAATGTATTGTCGAAGGCTTTCACGGCCGGCATACGATGGCTGGTGTGGGTCTTCCGGGCTGTGTGGCGGTGGTGT